AAGTTGCTAATGTTTCTTGTATAAAACGCGAAATTGTTAAAGCATTTGTTTTCTTAAGTTGCTGGCATGAAATAAGATGAGATTTTGGTAAGGTATCTTCTTTAAGAACACCAATCAATAAATGAGCAATATACTTTCCTGAGGAATCAGTGGTTTCGTCTACAGATATGTAAAAATAATTATCTGCAATTTCTTCCTTATTATTAATTAACACCGACGAGTATAGCCCGTTCACATTATTTCTTCTTAGAGACCGATCACTTGGAACATTAAGTTTGCAATATTTTTTTAGAAACGAACTAAAATTTACATTTGCTAATTTTGAAAGCGGTATGTTTGCAGACACTAATGCGCGACACAAGTCTTCATTAAAAGTTTCTTGCTCATCTAATTTTTTTGAAGTAGATTGGAAACATTTAGCCATTGAAGTTTGATGTTTTCCTCCTATTTTTCCTTTTTTGCAATGTGTGAAGCAGTTCTCACATGTTGGTCTATCTAAAATTTCTTCTCACATGCTATCTATAAATAAAAATAAAAACCTTTATTTAACTCAACCTTTAAAATATAAAAATATACAAGGTGTTTTTGGTTAATCAAATAACTGGTTTGGAAATAAAAAACACTCGCTAAGTGTTTTAAATGCAGTATTAATCCACAAATTAGTTTTTGTTACTAACCATTAGTACATCATATAACTTATTTTACAATTCAACAAAAGTTTTTTTTTGTTAATTCAATTACAATAAAAATAATTGTGTTTTAGAATAGCTGACTTCATAAAAAAAAGTAAAGGTGAAAAATTGTTGTACATTGTACATTGTATTGTACCATGGACAATTTTTTCTCACTAAAGGAAGCTATTTTTCATTTAAAAACAACCTACGAGTACTAAATTTCAAGTAAATGCGTTTATTGGTTTTAAAGTTATTGTTGTTATTAACTAAAAGAATTTAATTTTTTTTAATTTTAACACCTTATATCTCGAAAAGTAAATAAGTTTGACCCCTCATTAACTATATCATTTTGTTCAATTTTTCGAGAAGTATCTACAGTCAAACGTTGTAAGTGTCATTTGGAAACACCCTGTATGTATGAAATATTAGATATTTAATAGAAAATATTAGATACTTACAATTTTGCCACAGACATAGACAGCTATTTATAAGGTTTAATCCAAGTTGAAGCACTGGTTGTTTTAGGCATTATAAAATCACAATCTTCCTTTTTGTTACGCACAACGAGTGTTTACGCTTTGAATATCAAAACAAAAATGATTTACAAATCTGAGCATCAAATTAGAAATGTTTAGGTACCTAATTCAATAAACTGGAAGATTTTGAAAAATCCCTAAATTAGGAACAAAACTATTAGCCGTTTACCTGCTGTTAAGATACAATAAATTGTAGATAGATTTGGGGATTAGATCATAAAATTTAAATGAGCGAACCCTTAGCAATTATCCAATAACTGAATGCCTCAGTGACCGAGACTTTCTAAGAATGTTGAGTGCTACTTAAATTGATCTTCTTTGAAATTGTAAATGTTTTGTACCTGTAGAGATTACGTACTTAGATCATTTCTTGATTAAAATGACTACAAAATTTTATACAAGAATTGAAATAAATTGGTATGTTTAAAAATTTTCAAATACAGTATAAAAATCTAAACTTTTATGCACTTTATGCAAACTTTTATACAAATATGCCAAAATATGAAATATTTGCATAAAATATGCACAATATGCAAAATATGCAATATGCATATTTGCCGAAGTCTAGTAATTACTTTAAGATGCCACAAGAAAATAGCTTCAGAAGACTACAGATTCTGTTCCAGCGCTGTCTAAATATCAGCAGTGAAATATACTTGTGTTTTATATCGGAAAGCATTTGTGTACCTTAGAGTTAAACTGTATTAACTCACAAATTTTAAATTTTACAGGAGAGCATATTAAAAAATATATAAAGAGTAAATTTTATATAGAATTTTAATTTCTTTTTCTTCAAATATGTGATAAACACCATTTGACAGGTATAAATGATACTATATATTACTGTATTTGTTATTTTTATTGCTCTTTAATTTTTTAAAAAAACATGGAGTTAATACTGTTTAGCAGGAAAACAATTACCATATTCGGGATATAATATAATGGTATGTTAACACACGTGAATAAATAATCTGGAGATAATACGATAAATGAAACAAAATTTAGTCAAGAACACTTCTTTTTATTTAATTAAATTAATTAACAAGTCATACCTGTAAAACAAAATGAGTAAACAAAATTAACGAAAAACGAAACACAAAGGATCATGAGGGTCGTTCACTTAAAATTGTTTTGGAAATTTTTTATAAATCCTCATCTACTTTATCAGAGTGTGATAAATTTTTATAAAAATGATGAAATTTACTTGGCACCCAGGTGAGCAAACTTTGCAGATATGTGTATTTTTTGTAGATATTTCCTTTGGCTTAGCGCGAATCACAGTCAGGATCTCAGGAAACTTAACACGCCTAGTATTACTATTAAGATCAAGAGATTGGAATGTTTTCGAATTAAAATTAATTTTGGAAAAAAGTAAACCTAAATTATTGCTGCGTACTTGAAAGTGGACAACATCTGACATGCGAAAGTCTGTTTTTGCAGAGATTTTTCCTTATAATAAAAGGTGAACAGTTGTTGTTGTAAAGAGTCTTAAAATCCTTGAAGTCATTTAGTTCCATATTAATTACATTGAATATTTGAGAACGACAGCAAAGTCGTGCTAGCTGCAGCCAGTACCAGGGAGTCATGATTTTTAAAAAGGGTGTTTTCTTTCGTTCTCTTTCAATAAGAGAATGATCACTGTCGACTTCTAAATGGGTATGACCACGTAACAAAAACTTGTGATTTATAATTTTTATCTGTAAATACTTGTGAAGTGACCATTATGTAATGACCATTATCATATTTCTGTTCTGGAATGAGCAGTTGTCGGACTACACAGTAATTTCTCTTACATTTTCATTTATAGCTTCAGTCCACCTCAAAAAGCCCAAAGCCATTTCGTTTGCTCCACTTCCAGACTCATCTCACATCATGCAAGACGTAACATTACCTGAAGTGTCTGATATCGTATAATTGTAGGTCCATTACTTGAGCTTATACAATCTATGCTGGTTACTTAGAACAGGAGTTGGCAGACATTTCTGTATATCCAGTGTCAATAATTTTATTCAAAAAATCAATATAAGGTTGAATGTTCGAATAATTGAACTTTGATGGTATACAAGGCAAATATCGAACACAGTAATTAATTAAATCTTGCCCAAGTACTTTCGATCAATAGATCATCTTCAGGAGCATTTCGTCAGTTGTGGCCTATCCGACATGAGCAGAATGTCATACATGTAAATTTGGACATAACAATACAATACACAATGACAAACAAACCCTTTAAAATTTTTAAAAATGGAGAAGCTACATGTTATATAGAAGCCGGAGACAGAATGTGTCTGACAGAATGGAGTTCTTCTTCTTCTTCTCACGGTGCCTTATCCTTAAGGACGTTGGCCATTACATTTGCCCATTTAATCTTATTTGTAGCAGCCCTGAATAGTTCTATGGTCATGTTCGTCCATTGCCGTAGGTTTTTAAGCCAAGAGTTGCGTCTTGTTCCTGGTCCTCTTTTGCTATTGATCGATGGAGTTAATACTTCTTAAATGTGCTTGTGATATTAACTCCACTAATACTACTAATAATACTTATATTGCGGGGTATTAAGTGTACCCGACTGTTTATCTTGGAACTACTGAGGGACTTAATACACTTTAAGGTTACTTATCTTTGGAACCGCATTAAATAGGATTTAATATTGTATTGCATATGAAAGATGTAAAGTCTGTTATGTATAAAGTGAAATTATACAATTTAAAAAAAAATGGAGTTAATACAGTTTAGCTCTGTAGTACAGATTTGATAGAATGCAAAACTAATACGATATTAGGGAGCTAGAACTAGCATCGTTAAAATGTATTTAAAAAGTAACAAAAATGAATATTACTTGGCTCTGTGCCAAAAGAAAAGAGGCCACGTTAAAAAACCAAAGAAGAACGGGTCTAGGACAATTCGCCGTCGCCAATTCGCCGTCGCCGATTCACCGTCGTCCATTCACCGTAGGGACAATTCACCGTTAGCCGATTCGCCGTCGCCGATTCGCCGTCAGAATTTTAATTTTTAGAATGTTTATTATTAACACTTGGTTATAAATAGAAGATTTTAGGCAATATATTATTTTATAGTAAGTACCAATTAATGGTGTGTTGATGTTTAAATTTTTATTAGGAATAAAATATTTAACAAGAACTAGAAAACAATTAGGGGGGTTGATCTTCTAATGTGGGTTAAAATAGTTGTTGTTTATTTAATGACCATTAATAACGAGTGAATAATGATTCAAGGATTTAATTTTTTGTTTAAATTATTGTTGGAATAAAAAATGTTTAACAAGAATTAAAAAAAAATTAGGCAATAATTTTTTTTAGTAAGTACCCATTTATTGAGGGTTGGTGTTTAACGAAAACTTAATTCATATAATTTTATGTTTAATTAAATATTTTTGCTAAGTAAATGAAACAAGGCATCCATTGTTTTATGTTTTGTTTTATTAAAAAATTAATTTATTCCTAATAAAAATAAAACATCAACTCAATAAACATCAATAAATAGGTACTAACCATAAAATATTGCATTGCCTAAAATCTTATTTTTATAACCAAATGTTATTAATAAACATACTCAAAATTAAATTTCTGACGGCGAATCGGCGACGGCGAATCGGCTGCCGGTGAATTGTCCCTACGGTGAATGGGCGACGGTGAATCGGCGACGGCGAATTGGCGACGGCGAATTGTAACTGCCAAAATTTTTCGTAATAAAAAATTGAGAATTACCTTGATGGAATCCAAGTAACCAAAGACAAATCAAGAGAAATAAAAGTAGAATCAGACCATAGTTACACCTATGACAGTTTCGTGACAGTAAACGTTATTAATTAATTGAATTATTTATAATGCAAAAAGAAAACAGATTAAATGCGAAACCCCATCCGCCATTTCTTTTTGCAACCAAAAAATTTGCAACCATAGGAATACATCCATCGTTAGACAAAACAGGATCAACTAAAAAGAAAATAACCGATGCTGGCCCCGGTTCTTACGATCCCCAACCTGCAAAATGTACCTCCAAAAACGGCTACTCCTGGAAAATGAAATTGGAGAGCGAGAACTTCTCAAAACATCGTGGTCACAGAAACCCTGAGTTAGTTAAAGAGCGAGATTTCCAGAAAACTATGAGAGGCCCAGGTACACATGAAGTTAATTATGATATCTTTAAAAGACAATGTGATTCCAAATTTGAGAATGTTGATTTGGGGGCCGAGAAGAGATTTGTCGATAAAACTCCAAACTTTCCTTGTGCCAATACATATTTTAGAAAATTCGAAGATCTGTGTACTGTACGCAAAAAACAGTTTAGTCAAACACCAACTTTTGAATTTGATGGTTTTTTAGACAGATTTCGTTTAAATCTTCCACGGCACTTATTACCCTCCAACATATATGATTATCAAGATCACGACAACAAAAACATTGCAGATATAGTTAAGAAAGTGGTATCAGCAAGAGGTCCCTACGATTTATTTACTGGTCCTAGAGACAATACAACAATAAAAAATCATTTCTCGACTCCAATCTGCGCTTCGCCGGAATACTACTATATAAAACCAAGCAATTTGGACGTACTTCTACATCATCCCTCCAAATCTCGCACAGGAAAGTTTCTGCAGGGAAAAAGGTTCACTAAACCAATTTTACGTCATATTCTGAACGACCTAAGTCTCTGCTACCGAAATCCAAAAGATCCTGGACCTGCAAGCTACAATTTGGACAAATTCGGTAGTATAACAGAAAAACCTCCTAACTTGCATCCATTTAATACGTCTAAATCTCTTGCTAGACCTCCACCTGCGTTATGGAATATTTTTCCTGGACCTGGCAGGTATAATCCTAAACCTCCCAGATGTATGAAGCAGAAGAGAGCCTCGTGGGTGTTTCTGTCTAAACAAAATAGACAGTATTATACGGTGGTCAAATATTCTGCTTTTTGAGTATAAATGATATTATATATACATACTTATATACAAATTAAACATAAAACAGATATTTATGTATCAGAAAACGGGTGTGTTTGTTAATTTTTACAACAAAAATGTTGGATATTGTTTTATAGAAATTTTGGTGTAGTTTCTTCTTGTTCTTCTTCTTCTTATGGTGCCCTATCCAATTAGTGGATGTTGGCGACAATTCTGGCATACTCCTTTCGATCTTGTGTGGCTCTAAAGAGTGCATAGGCATCAAGGTTTGTCCAATCCCTTATGTTTTTAAGCCATGTATATTTCTTTCTACTGATGTCCTGTTTTCCTTTTATCTTGCCTTTTATAATAAGCTTTAAGAACTGGTACTTAGAATTTCGAAATATATGACCCAGGTAAGCAGTTTTTCTTCTTTTTATTAGTTTTGAGCAATTGTCGTTCTCTGCTCATTCGATTTAATACGTCGACTTTTGTTGTGAGATCTGTCCAGGAAATTTTAAGTAGTCTTCTAAATACCCACATTTCAAAGGCCTCTAATCGGTTTATCACATTGGCCTTTATGGTCCAGGTTTCTATACCATATAGCAGTATAGAGTAAATGTAACATTTTACAATGAACATAAGACAATGGAGAAGAAGGGTACAAGAGAGATCTGAATGGAAGGACATAGCCAGACAGGCAAAGACCTATCCAGGGTTATGATGCCAAAAGAAGAAGAAGAACATTTTACAAAGCGATATCGAAGCGTTAGGTTAAGGCTGCTGTTGCTTAGCAAGTTTCTCATATTAGTAAATGCTCATCTGGTTTGCTCAATCCTACTACGTATCTCTATGTTTGGATCTAGATGTTCAGTTGTCTAACTACTGAGATATCTGAACTTGGGGACCTTTTGGATGTTCTTATTGTTTACTTTTATATTTAATTGTAAATTTCGTGTTCTACTAACCACTATTACCTTCGTCTTGTATTATATTAATCTTCAAGCCCAGTCTTTCTTCTTCAGTGTTTATTCTATCTATTAGTCGTTGTAGAGCTTCTTGGCTATCAGCTATTATGACGTATCATCAGCATAGCGAAGGTTACTAATGGTCTGTTTGTTGATTTTGATTCCATCTTCAGTGTCACTTAAGAGTCTATCGAAAATAGTTTCAGAGTAAAGATTAAACAGAAGGGGTGACAGAACACAACCCTGTGGTACACCTTTTTCGATTAATAAATATGATGTAGATTCCAGTCCTACTCTCACAGATGCCACTTGATTTATATATAGGTTTTTTATGATTTTAAGGTCATTCTTATCTATCAAACGTTCCTGGAGCAATATTACTAATTCTGAATAAAAAACACAATCGGACGCTTTCTGGTAATCTATAAAATATAGTAATCAAAAGACTGATATGTTTTTTGTACACACTTATGACAAGTCAAAAGAAAAGGCAAAAAAGTATTTTTGAAGTGTGTATATTTTTTAATAATTCCTAGCTGAGCACTTTCTGCTTTACAAAGCCATCATCGGAGCTATGCTACAATAAAATGTTTTTATAAGTAACTAATTGGTGAAGATTTTAATTTTTTATACTTACGTCAATTTATAAATATCACTACAATGGACAAATCTCATTTCCTTATTTGTTGAAATTTTGATTTTTCTAATTACTTAGTTGTTAAAAATTCTTAAAAAACATACAAAAAACCGACTCTGGACTTCACAGACACATTAAAAAATTTTTGTCATGGTACGGGTGTAAGAACCCGACCATTGTTTGCTATGAGGAGGTAGACAGAATAGAACTAATGAAATCAAATGTCGGTCCCTTTAAACGATTTTTCAAAAGTGACAGTTGACAAATGTCATGTATAGGAAATAGAGATTGTTTTAAATTCTTACAAAATTATTTAATAGTTTGGAATTACTAATAGTCATCAAAGACTTTCTAAAAATTAAGTTTTTAAGTTTTTAAATTAAATCTTATGTGTTCATCACATCATACAGAATGATATTAGTTTGTAAATTGACTCCAGTCATTGATCAAGGTCAATGTATGTTCAATCTGACAGTCATCCCTAACAAACAAGGGTTCAAATCGTTCAATAATAATATAAAGAAGAAACATGGTATTAATGTTACATGATCTGATATTTAAGTGTATTGAGAATTGTATCTCTTGATGGAAATTTGTAAGAAATTTGCATAAAAATTTTTTTAAAGAATATATTTTCATGTTTCAATTAAGAATAACTTGTCAAATGAATTACAAAATGTTGTAAATTTATAGTAAAGTTTTTGCAGAAAGAGAACAAAATAACAGTCTCCCTTTTTTAGATATGATTGTCCATCGCACACATGACAATAGTCTTAAAACAGAATTGTATCTAAAACCAATTTCTAGCAATAGATTCATTAATTACTATTCCGAACATCCTACAAAAATGAAAATAAACTTAATTTTGGGGCTAAAAAGTAGAGTAACTAGAATAACTCATCCAACATATAGAGAACAAAGTTTAAAGAGACTAAAAAACATACTAATTGAAAATTCTTATCCCGTTGGCTTACTCAAAAAATTAATTTTTAGTACTGCAAACTCTCCAACCTCCATCACATTGATCGACAATACCAACAATAAAAAACAAATCACAGTAAAAATGGCAAATCAAAAAATAAACAATAGCCTGACAGTTAACACCTTAATACCAATAACACCACAAACTTTTGGATCTTTACCTTATATTCCATTCTTAACACCAAAACTTCTCAAATTATTTAAAGGATTAGAAAACATAAAAATTGCCACCAGAAATGTTAAAACCATAGCACATTTATACACTAAAACTAAAGATCCTTTAACAACTGATGAAAGTTCTAGAGTAGTGTATCAAATACCTTGCTCAGACTGTGATAAAATTTATATAGGAGAAACTTCTCGAACATTACACAGCAGAATTATTTCTCATAAAAGTAATGTAAAAACTAAGAAATCACAAGCTTGTGCATTAGCTGAACACTCCATCAATCTAAATCACACATTTAATTTTTCACAGGCTTCAATTCTAGAGAGGCAGAAACATGAACAGAAATGGTTATTTTTAAAAATGACACATATACAAAAAAAATAAAAAATGTGTAAATAGAAGATCAGATATTGACAAATTAAGTAACATTTATTGTTACATATTAACATATCAATAAATACCGTCAAAATCTCATTTTCTATTGACATCCTAACATTAAAAATTCATATGTGCTTAAGCCAAACTGCTGACTGGATTAATTTATATTTTTTATAGACAATTAAATAAATTATAATAAAAACTATTGTTACTGGTTTTGCTTTCCACATAAAATAACTGTATTTTCATTCATATATGTCCATTAATCAAACCATGACAATGACATGTCTAGTGACAATATAGTTATTTTAATAAAAAAATTTTAATATCTTTATAATGGTTTGTTTTGTAGAGTACAATATTAACAACTATAATCTCATGACTAGTAAGTAAGACAATTAACAATTTTAACTAGTTAATTTATATTTCTTTTTACAGATGTCTTAAAAAAGAATTAAATAAAATTCGAAAGCTTGACAGTAAGTCAAAGAGTTTTCTTTGTCTTGTGGGCCAAATAAACTGACTGCATCCTCTGGCGGTCATTGCATCGTCGACATCGTCTCTCCAGGATCGTCTTGGTCTACCTCGTTTTCTTCTAGTCGGCGGAGTCCATTCTCTGAAGGTGTCCATACCAGTTAAGTCTTTTGGCTTCGATTGTGTCTATTTTGTCTAGATCGATTTCCATTTCTCTCCGAATATCTTCGTTTCTCACCCTATCAAGTCTAGTGAGCTGGCAACATCGTTTCCAGTAGTTCATTTCTATGGCCTTAATTTTTGATTTGTTTCTTTGGTTTATATCCCAGAGTTCGGCACCGTACAGTCCAATACTTTCTATTAATGTTTTATAAATTCTTCTTTTATTTTCTTTTGTTATTTTTTATTCCATAATAGTCCGTGTAGCTGTCTGGTGGCTGATCTTGCTCGGCCAATCCTGGAATGTATTTCTTCGCTACTTCCTGCTTTTGATGTTATTTGGACTCCCAAGTAATTAAAATTGTCTGTTGGTTTTATAGTTACCATTTCGATCTCCTACAACTAAGTACTCAGTTTTTTGTATAATAATTGTGAGGCCCCATTTGGTGTACTCATCTTCCAGTTTTCTAAGCATGTAGCTTCATTCTCGTCTTCAGCTAGAATGGCTTTCTTTTCCACGGCAAGTGCACCTCAGTTAGATATATTTTGAAGAGTGTACGTGCTATGCAGCAGCCTTGCTTTAGGCCCTTACTAATAGGAATTTCTCTAGTTAATCTATTTCCAGTTTTAATGTTTGCCGTCATATTTTTGCAGAGCTGTTGTACTGCTTGTATATTTTTTTGCTTATTCCTTGTTTTTCCAAAGCATTGAAAGTGGTAAACTATCGTATGCCTTTGTCAGATCTATAAAGACTATATGAGTTGAAAGGTTGTGGGCTAATCTTTTCTCGATAACTTGCGTTAGAGAGAATATACTGTCCATGCAGGATCTGCCTACACGAAAGCCATTCTGTTCTACGTCCCCAACCTTAAATCGCCAGTAAATTATTTTTCCTTTAATTTTGATTAGGTACATTTGTTTTCTTTTGCAGGGAGTTCCATTTTGTACTATTTTTTGTTATCTCAAAAATTTTATAGATCCTGGTCTATAAACATTGCGTAGCTATTCAAATTACGGAAAGCTACGGAATTGTTGTATATTTTTCTATAACTCTGTCCCATATTTCATTTGACAATCTCTGCATAAGGAATATTATGAGCTACGGTAATACAAAATTCCATATTCGTATATAGCATATCGTCAGTGATGTTCATATTTCGAAAAAACAAACTCCATCGTCAACAATAAACTTTGATATCAAACAATAAGAAAAAAGTAACCATTCCAAAGACGACAAATTGGAACATTAGATAAAATGAGGACATCAGAAAGGTCTAATAGGGCGAAAAAGCGACAAAGACAGGACAGGCCTGAACAGTATTCATAAAAATTTCTTC